TTTTGTCTCGTTGCACCGGGACACGGCATCACAATATGGTAAGGGGCGTAACATTTACTTCACATGCTTGAGGTATTCGGCCAATCACAACGCACTGGATAGCTGGCCAATCAAGAGCACACCTCGCTTTTCAGACCGATGAGCGTTGTAAAAATTGACGCATTTCAGAAAGGCGGGGCATTGAAGAGAAACAATAATGTACAGTATGTGGAAAATTATGTGGGTTTTTTTACCTTAAACCGCATAAACATTTCATTACACCAAATAATGTTCTTTTTAGCAACATCATATGAGCCCTTTAATATATAGTTTATTTATAGCTATTTTCAAATCTTCAATGTAATGTCATTATAAAAGAACTTTATTATTGTTTATTTAATCCAAACAAATAAGTTCTTGTTAAAAACTAACCAAAATTAAAAATATTTATATATTGGTATCGGCATCGGCTATCGGCCAAATTGAGTATCAAATTATTGGCATATCGGATATCGGCAAAAGTCCAATATCGTACATCCCTAGTTGTAATACCTGACAAAATTGTACAGCAAGGTTTAGTATACCGTTTGCAACACTAGACTTTTCCAGACTACCTTAAATCTTGATAAAGCCAGGAATTACCCTGAAATGGAACAACTTAGCCATACAAGACATCAGTTTGTATCTCACATAGGGGTGTGCGATATATATCGTCTGCGATAATATCGTGATTGTTGTTTTAACGATGTGCGATTTGACATTATCGAGTATATTACAAAAAACAAACACAACACACCTACAGAGTGCACACATACATGACGTGTAGTTTAGGAACGCTATTATTTGAATTTTTTTTACAGTTTCTAGCCAAGCAGAAAGGCTCTCTCTGGTTTTATGACAGCTGTACCTTTGCAGAACAGATAGCAGAACATTAGAACATTACAATCTAAAATTGATCTTTAAAGCATTAAAATAACTAAATTAAATGTTAAAATCACTTAATTAAAATGAAAAGAAATAATAAAGAAAATTACTTCTAAACTGCTATAAGAAACACACATTAACTAATTTGAGCTTAGTAATTAGTAGCCTACTGAACTAGCTTACATTTGATTTATCCATTACAATAGTCCCTTTACAGTTACTGTTATCATGAAAATACACTTATATGAAGGTTTAAAATTCTACAAAATGCACATTTAAATGTCCAACAACAAATATTTTAGCAAAATGTATATTTTACTCAGAATTATTGCGCTCCTATTCGATTGCGCCGTCTGTTTAGCGCGCATGTGCACAGCAGCGCTCGTTCACTCGCGTCAGCCTCGCCCACTCCTTACAGTAAAATGGATATGTTTGCATGACTTTCTAACATTTACAGATGAAAAATATACCCATGACATGTCAGTTATGCACGGAGGAAAACACAATGTCTCAAATGCACTAAACAGCATGAATGTATTCGCTGTTTGCCATGGTGTATCGATTTGATCCATGATCGACATTAAGGGCTGCTTAAGAATAAGCGTGCACAAATTAGTGAGATTGTGTGAACTTAATTTGTCGTTTATGGAACCGCTTTAGCCCCGATTGATTTTTGAGGTTATTTCAAGTCAGGTTTTGGACTTTAATCCCAGTTTTTTCTTGGGTCTCCGTGGTGTTGTGATTCGTCATATTCACGCAGCAGCGGTGATGAGAGAACAAGCTTGACAAAAAAATACATAGATCACAGATTATTGGTCACTTTCTAAATAATAAAAGTATAGCGCATCCACTAGTAATTATATATAAATAAATCAGTTTTTACGGATGCAAATATGTTAGAAACAATGCATCGCGATACAAATGCCAACTTGTAGCAGATACACACTTTTTAAACGATGCATCGCATCGTTAACTTTTTATGCCGATGCACCGAGCGATATATATATATAATATTATATATAAAATCTATATATATATATAGATTTTATACAACAGTTCAATAAACAAGTTAATATTAAGAGACTTACGTTTTAGACACCATATTGCCTGTTTTTGCTCTATTTCGCCTACAAAAATAATTCCAAACAGAACCACAGCACTGTTTTGCGTTTCTAAACAACATGACGTGCTTCGTTCATGAATGAATCAACCGTTTAAATTATTTGGTTCAATCGCAATGATTCACTTATTAACAGTGACTTGCTGCCACCTATTGGCGGTTTTAATTTCACATTTAAAGTATCTTTTCTTTTTTTGCAAATAGTAAAACATTATTTATGCATTTGTAACTGCAGGTTAAATCATTCCATGTCCCTCTGAGCTGCATTAAACTGTGTAAATACATCTAAATGCCACTTCGTTCAGATGCAGCTTCTGTGTTTCCTCTGCATTGCAAAGATACATTTTGTTGATACTGATTTCATTTGCCTTCATTTGGTTCTAGTAATCAAGGACAACTTAAAGCTGAGTGGTGGTTCACGGTGAGCACATGCTAATGAGGCAGACAGGAAACCGTTAATCACGCTGGTCAACTCTTCTGAAGAGACTCGTGACTAGCTGCCATTTAATAAGATTTCAAAGCTCTTTTAATGACACCAGAGGCCACAGTCCCAGTGGCAATTAAATCATGCCAGGACACGCCATGATCTGTTGTGATATCACAGAGTGACACAACGGCAGCACCAAATGTTGGCTGGATAAAATCTCAGGAGACAACGGTCACTTTGGCTACCAAAGACAAGCTTGTGTCTGAGACTCATCTTGTGTCTGAGAAACATCTGCAGGAGAAGAGAGGATAGCCATGTCGTGTATGGCATTCTCAGACACAACAGCTGGGGGAAAAAAAACTCACCTGCAAGTTTAAATGACATCACAAGGGAATTACAGCCCCAAAGCAGAATTTCACTGCTTAAAGTTCTCATTGAAGTCAACACACCTATCCAGATCTCTCGCTCCAAACACAGCGCAGATGATAACATTTCCCTTCACCTCAATACAAACCTCACAAACTTCAAACTGCAATAACACAGGACAGCTATAAAGAGTCCATAAACAACAGGACACCCGCAATCATGTTAAAAAAAAAAGTCTCACTCTCTAGCGGACACAGACCTCACAATGAGAAATAAACATGAGCACTACCGTTCAGGCGGAGTGCAGCAAGATGTGTGACAAGAACGATTAACTGGCTGCTTGCGGTCTAAAATCAATTTTACATGTACAAAAAAAAAAAAGCCAGTGCAATGCCAATAGATCTGCCTTAATCCTATTGCCTTAAGATGCCTTAAAATCCACATTCTCTGATTCACACTAAAATAAATAAATTTCTTTCTGTACTAATGCACTCAGCCTTATGTTTGCTTATGAAAAAAACAACAGCAGTACATTATTCTTTATCTATCTTTGCGGTTTAAGAAAAAAGACGCAGCAGACATGATGCTAAGATACTAGACGGAGAAACCTGTCCGTGTCTCCCTGAAATTGACAATTCAGTTCTCATAACCTGCTCTCTGCAGAGGAGTTCATATTGTTTAGGGGGGGTTCAAAAAAAAAAATAACAGTGCTGCCTTGGAGCTAAATGTATTTTCTTTGTTTCAACAGGAATCCAGGGACCCAAGGAGGGGGGGGGGCATCAGAGCCGTTCTTTATGTTCAAAAGAAAAGGTTAAAAGACCAAAACTGGCAAATAAAGAAGGGGAAAGAACTGTCTGGATATGTTGGAAATACATGCCAACAGACTTCGTAGACATGCCCTGGATCTGAGAACTTTCCTCCTGTCTGAAACCTGAGCCGTTCAGCAAAGAAAAAAAAACTCATCTGTGAGGCACTCAAAACCAAGAAAAAAATCCATTATTGATCGTGTTTGTTGTGGGACAAAAAAAAATGAAAGAACCTGCCAGAGTGGACGGCACTTGGGCGGACACTCTGAGCTTCAGGCCAATTTAAAGAGTAAAGAGGAAGAACTGCATTAGCACAAAAGTGATGGACACACTGACACCTAATCAAGAGCATTACCCACAAATCCCTGCAAATCACTTCAGATGGACACACATCATTGACTGACCACATCATTGGTATCTCACACTTTGATGCACAGGTCTGCACCTCAAGGGCTAAAACATCATGAAAAATACAAATATGAGAATGCTTAAGGAAAAAAGACAATGTAAGCATCAAGCAAAAGTTTGAAAATTCTGACCTTGGGTTGAGCACGCCGAGGAAAGGCAACCTTAGGATCAATCTGTGCACAAACAGAGAAAGAAGAGAAAGAATGAGGGGGGGGGGAAAGTCACATATGAATGCAGTTATCCAGGCCCAATTCATCACAATACACTCTTTCATACTTCAAGAAATCATCAACACCATCAAGCTTCTGAATTATGAGCATGGATGGGTCATACTGGACTGATGACATTAACTCTTTGGCTTGTCATCTTGTTAATTTCAGTTTGTCTTCCATCTAGTGAAGGTGTGCAGACAGAAGGAATTATCAGAGAAACTATTTCATGCTCCAATGTCACACTGTCTTACCTCAGCCTTAATACAGCTTCTTATAGAGAGGAGTTTCAAACAATCTCATACAGGCAGCCGAAGTAAAGATGAAAAACATAAACAGATCGAAATTGGGTTCTTGCAGGAAATTACTTGTCCATGTTCAGCAAGGCAAAGGCTTTCGATTGTAGCAAAACTCCTAGTGTAGATTTGAACGTTTGCCTGAGGACTCTGCAGCATATAAGTGTGTATCATTACAGACACTGTCTTTCTAAATAAAACACACACACACTGTCTGTTTCTTTCCAGATAGAATCTTAGGAGTAATTTTTTGCCTTCTCTATATGTGTCATCTATATGTTGGCCATTTTAAATAGGGGTCGACCGATTATCGGCCTGGCCGATTATCTACACCGATATTAAGCATTTTTATGATTATCGGTCATTTTCAAAACCGTTTCGATACATTTATTTTGAAAGATGAAGCTCGTGATTATGGTACATTTCCGACAAGTGCTTGCGGTGTTCGGCCAATCACAATGCACTGGGTCAGCTGGCCAATCAGAGCAGACTGCGCTTGTCGGAAGGAGGGACTTTGTAGAAAACGAAGCGTTTGAGAGAGGCGGGGCATAGAGGACCTACAATAATGTACAGTATTTGAAAAATAATTTGTGTTTTTTGAACATTAAAGCATGTCAACATTCTGTTACACCAAATACACAAAATAATGATCTTTAAAAAAAGCATCATATGACCCCTTTAATTTTGAAACGCGCTATTTGGCTCTGATGCAGCCCGTCAGAACACACCACTCTGTGGCATAAAGCAGTCTCCGCCCACCGCTCATCTGATTTGTTGTGAGTCACGAGTCCGACCAATCAAAGCGGAATTCCCTCTCACTCCGAAAGCGCTTGCTAACTGGAGCTGCTTCAGTGTTCATGCATCAGTTGTCTCTCAAAGGTAAGGCAGCAGCAGCCGTTGCAGCATGTTTTGCGTGTCTCTGTGTATGTAAATGGAACAGACGAGCGGTTTTGTTTTCTACACATACAAAGTGTGCGACGCTCGCTTTGATTTCAGCCTAACCCTAACCCTAATCTCCAGAACTGCTCTGACTCCCTCTAAGAGTCACTTCATGAGCATTTGACGGTTTCATTGGAGTAAAACTATCTTCATATCATTTACATAGACCTACAGAAACAAGATCCTCATGGCAACCCGTCAAAATATAAGATCGGGTTAGCTTAAAGAAATTCTCAGAAATATACTGGTGCAGTAAGATGTACATAATACTACTCCGGGATGAAAGTTTTCCATCGCTACAACGGATTTCCGTCAATTAGAAAAAATTAGGGGAAAAGAAACGTAGCATTGTTGTTGTTCTGCGGCACACCAAAAATCCTCCCCGCCATGGCTGCAGCTTCTCACTGACAACATAACGCCGCTCGCATCATTCACAGTCGGGTTATTCGCAGAGAACATAGAGCAGAACTTGAATTTCGGCGTGGGATTGCAGCTATAAATAACAATTCTACTCATTCCTGCAGGTTCCGCGCTTATAACGCGATGACCGATGACGGAACTTATCATTTGCACGTGCTTTTGAGTCTTGAGAACTCTCATTTTCTGTGCGCCCACAGATCGCGATAAGGAGAGTGACAGATTTGAATAATTATTAAAGGAGTTTGCAAATGTGATATTGATTTAATACAACAGTTCAATAAACAAGTACTGCCCGATTTTGCTCTATTTCAACAACGAAAATAGTTCCAAATAAAGTAACAGCTCAGTCGCTGCGCATCTCTAAAAGCAAACACAGCGGTCTTTAATTCATGAATGAAAGTGCGTTTTTGAACGAATCTAGTGAGTCAGTGATTCATGATTACCCATTCATAAAGACAGTCACTTGCTTCATTCCTGAATTATTCAGCCGTTCAAACGAATCAATTGAACGAATGATTCAGTGATAAAATCCGTGATTTGCCACCACCTGCTGGCGGTTTCAGTTTAATTTTTTAGGTATGATTGCAGTGATTTAAATAATTAAATATTTCTGTATTAAAAATTTTATATTTAAAACATTAATCGCCACATGAATTTATGAATATAAATTGCACTCATGCCACCTCTGAGCCTCATTGAATGTCTGAAAATGTACCTACAAGCCACTTTTGTGTTCTTCTTTGCCACCTCTGAAGGACAAATAAATTTTTCATTAATACTAATTTCATGATTGGTAACTTATTTGTCTTATTCTACTTCTTATTATATTGTTTTAAATAGAATTTTTTAAAAGCTTATAAATAGACTAATTTTTGATCAGAAATTTTGATAAATTTTATTATTGATCAGAAGGTGCTCCTTATTTTTTTTAAATTAGGAGCACAAGTGCTCCTGATTACAAGAAAAACACTGCTCTTAAACTTGGTGTGTGACAGGTATGGCTGTGGAATGGTGTTTGGCTGAGGAAACATTTTCAGTCAAAATATATATATTTTTTGCTTTAACCCCTGAATACTACAACAATTACTACAACTTTGGTTTAAAAGAATAAATCACACAATACGCCATTTCTTCCATGTTTTAATTTTAATGGTAAATCCTTTGTTTGCCAAAAAATAAAGAGTTTACTGTGGGAGTACTACACTCAACCAACACCAGGGAAGGCAGTTTTTGTCAGAGCCCTTGTTATTCTTAATTTTGACATTAATTTTCATTTTTACACCAGACATATATATCGGTTCTCTGTCTACTTGATCTGTAATAATCGGTATCGGCCCTGAAAAACACATATCGGTCGACCCCTAATTTTAAATATAAATGTCAATTCAATGTGCTGTGCACAGGGTAATTATTCTCTGAAATGACACTGGTGTCCAATGAACTAAACCTTTTTACTCCCATAATTCCGTTTGTCTGAGGTGTGATTGTTATCTCCCAAATCAGGTCAATTAGAGAGATGGATTTTGTAACACCTGGGTTTGGAAACCTTCTCTGTGATGAATTTCATGTAGCAATTTGTTTTAGCAATTAGCCTGAGGCTTAACCAATTCAACCTCAATTACTCCATAGAAACAAGCCTGTGTGAGCAGAAACAATATTACGCTTTGAATTTCAAATCAGTAGAAATTAGGAGTATTTTTCCATACAGCCTGAGAGCAAACATCCCATTCTGATGAATGCACGGATAAATTGAGAAACATTTGTGTAAAATGAATGCTGGGTCTGTAAATAAAGGCTCCAGATCAATCTGATGTAGGTTTTTGAGTTTATGCATTTGCAAATGGTCCAGTAACAGTTGACTGATTAAATCTCCAATTAAATCAATAAGCTGCATCTATGGAGTCAGGACCTAAAAGGTCATCCCTAATTAGGCCTATTAGTACAAAATATTTTTACTACCACTGCTGGATATTTCCAAAGGAAAGCAAAACCACAGTAGTCCCAGCCATTCAATCAGACTAACAAAAAAATCTTTAAACCTAGCGATAATCTAAATCAAACAGCAGACAGCAGCAGTTATTAAGCCAATTTGTAATTTAGACTCAAGAACACATTGTGTAAATAAAGTCCTGCATTTCCAGATGAAGCAATTACTGAGCTTCTCCCATCTCAGCAGTAACAGTTTAATGTGTTAGTGGCCTTTTATTGCTTTCAGATGGAGGCCTAGTTTAGAATGTATTAACATCTTTTTTTTTGGCTGATCCAATCGCAAGTGGTCAGCGCTAAATACAAAAAGAGACTCAAAGCATTTTGCAACTGGATTACTTCAACCACTTTTGTTGAAAGTCAGAAACGACCACATTACATAAAGCACAAAGTACTCTTAGCTGTTTCCATGCTTAAAATAACCATACAAACGTGAAGATTTGGAAAAGTCTAAACATATACATGGACAAAACGTTTTCAGTTCACATGATGCTTGACTATTAGTTTATGGTTAGATTAAAATGTGTGTAGACATTCTACATTATGTTAGACCCATTCTTCAAAATCTGATCACAAGTGATGCATGAGATATATTTATACCATGTTTAAATAGCGCTCTGAGACAGATCTTAATACCAGGTTTGAAGAGAACCCCTGAAGCAGTTTTCATCCAAAACTGATCACTGTATTCTGAACAACACTATGGATGTGTGTGCTACTATAAAAGTTCTTGAAAATGCTATATAGTTAGACAGCTCACTAAGTTTTAAAACACAGCCTGGTTTTTTTTTGTTTTTGTTTTTAATACGCCAGGTAGATGCATCCTCCACCAAAAGTTTCTCTTCAAAAAGACATCACTCAAAGTGTTTATTGTTCTCGTACACTGTACAAAACTCAGCACCGATTGCAGGAGACGAGATAACAACCCCCCACTGCGATAAAAAGCTCACAGAAATCTGATTTCAGCTGAACACAAGCGACACACAGCACAGCCCTGAAACCTCACTGCCAGTCGTAATTATTCATTACCGTCAGATTTACAGACAGCGTCAGACACGCGAGTGTTTCTGGAGCACAGAAGACTTGGAGAATGAAGGCAGCGTGTGGTGTAGTCGCTCCAGGTGTTCGGCGTAGTTTGTCTGACATTTAAGGTTTTTTTTTTTTTTTTTGTCTACAAACTAAACACACTAAAGAAATCAACGCACAGCAGAGAAGTGTCCTTTTCAGAATGCCAGCACACTGACTGATGTAACTACATATTTCTATTATAAATGTTCACACTTTAAACACTCTAGGGGTCATTTTTTACAGTATCTTCATAGTTTGGTTTGGAATTTGTACTGAACAGAATAAAGGAACTGAGTTGAGTGAACTGAATTTTTATTTTAGCCGTTGTTCACTGACGAGCTGCGCAAAACCACGTTCATATTGGCGTGATTTTTTGCGCAGCTCGTCAGTGAACAACGGCTCGGTGTAGTTAATGCTGCTCAATGTGAAAGCACGCACGTGATGGAGATTTACCGCTGATTACAGAACCGGCTTTCTGACAAGATGCGCATTAAATATCGCATGTGATTTATCATGCAGCCCTAATATAGAGGAATGCAAGTTTATTATATGAAGACATGCATATGGAAATATCAAATCCATATGAATGGGAAGTGCATGCCCATGAGTCTCAGGTGACTGTGAGAGGAAAGAAAGGGGAAATCCAGAGATGTCCCTTCAGTTCGATGAAATCAGGTGTTTATAATGATTGATCTCCGAGTCATTTCCCAGATAAACAAGGAAAGGACACATTTCAGCTTCTTGAATGAATGTCAGTCTAAGCACCATCTACACAGATGCCAGAACTAATTTTAACACATAGCGTTCTGTTAAACAATAAGGATGGGCCAGTTGCTCAGATGTTATTATTTTTAATTAAAAATTAATTTATATATATTTTTTTTAATCATGTTTACCAACACTAATAAGTCACATAAAACCAAGACATGTACAAGATCAACATATCATAAGATTTACAATGCAGTTCTGGCCCTAAAGTGCCGGTTCAGATTTCCTTCACACTGGCCCTAAGCCATACATATTGTTAAGCCTGATATGCAAGTACGTAAAACTCTGTCCACTCAATCCGACAAAAAAAAAAACACTAACTTTTTAATAAAGAGGCAGGAAATAAACAGAGATGACAAAGGAAATGAAAAACTCTGTGGGAAAGAACATCATCTGAATGACATCTGTTTCAGTGCACACACTCTATTCTCGCAGTTACAGAAACCGAACATTATGAAGTGATACATACCGTCTTGGAGTCTAATTCGTGGTGTGGTTGCGCTAAGACTTTATCTACACTGGAAACATCTGCAAATGTGATGAAGCCAAACCCTCTGTGGAACAAAAACACAAAACACAGTGAAGGTCAGGAGATAACTCCACAGAAGAGGCAGAAAACTTGTGACAGCATACAAAGCCCTCTTGTATATTTGCTGATACACTCAGTGATAGCAGGGGTGTTGCAATCATTATGACACTTCTAGAAATGTCCACTTGTTGTGAGATAATCACAACTTCTCAGTGCTTTAGTGTTTCACTGCTACACTTTTCAAATTATTCTTATGCCCTTTAATAAAGTATAGATATATAATATAAATGCATTGTACAAACACATTAACCACATAGAGTGCACAGGTGCAAAATATAATAAACACTGTCCGGAAATATTGGCAGGTCCGGCCAGTCATTTATAGAACATCAAATATTTATACAGGGCAAGTGACCCTTTAAGCCCACCAAAACCTAAATTTAAAGATCATTACTATAAATTATGAAGAACATTAAATATTCTATCATACTTTAAGTATTCATATTTGTCATGAACTGACAAAATTAAGTTTAAAAAAATTTCAGCACCCCCTGAACCATAAGATACTTCTTTGCTAAACCAGACTCATTTTAGGGCCTATAGACCCTCGTGTCTTTTTTTCTCAATGCAAGTGGGTAAAGTTCATGAACCGTGTTTTGAGCACAATTATTTCCATTAATGTTTTTATATGAGATTCAATGGATTCTTAGCCCAGTTTAAAAGGAACAATAGAATCAAATGGCAGCCTTCCTTAGAAACTCACATTCACAAAAATAAAAAGTTATATTTATGGAATGGATTATACATTCCCAGAGCATTCATTTTTTCCCCCATTTAATATAGTTACAAACACTTTTTTTTAATTTGTTTTTGTAGTTCTACTACTCTTTGAAACGCCACTCCAGTGCTACAAATACTTCATCCTTCCGAATACAGAATATTGCTAAAAAAGAAAAAATACAAAAATAAATTAATTTTATTAATCTCAATTTACTCTTTCATCAACAATTTCCCCCCCAAAAAAGCTTTTTAAATGCGACTTCTACAGTGTCAGATAATAACAACATAGCCTAAATAAGTCAAGGACTGACCATTCAATTGGCTGAATTTGCCACAAAATATAATTTCTCTCATGCTTCGTCTTTACATATTTCAAAATATAACAAGTGGGCTTATTACTGTTTGTGGCCATATTAGGGTCACCTCCCCTTAAATAAGTAACTGTCAATTATGTAGAAAGTGGCAAAGACTGAGATACCTATCTATGATATAGTGTGTGTGTGTATGTATATGTGTGTATAAGCAAAAACACTTTGTCCTTTGTAATATAATTTAGAAATCACTCAAAGGGAATCGCTTTCTTGCAGTACAGTCCAGTCCTCTTAACTCAATGTCAAAGAATCAGCTTCCTATCGCGTTACTCTTGATTTGCCCTAAAGGCAATTTTATACAGCAGAATACAGACAGAACATAGAGAGCACGTGTTTACCTGGAGCGTTTGGTTGTGGGGTCGCGCATCACCATACATTCTCTGATCTCCCCGAATTTACTGAAATAGTCTCTAAGGCTGTCTGAACACAAACACAAGGACACAAGAGGGTTACGCCGTTACAAGTGAACGACGCGCAGCCTGCACGCTGCCGTTATAATCAACGAAGGTCGCGCGCATCACACTTCGTTGATTATAATGAGAGCGTTCAAGTTTTGTCGCGTCGCCTCGCTTTTAGTGTCAGATGACTGGAAATCCCAATAACCTTGTGCGCAATGACACACATACAAACACCACAGCTCTTGAAGCATGCCATGGATAAATATAAAGCAAAACAACTCCAAAACAGAAGAAATTCGCCTTACCTGGTGAGGTTTGCCAGCTGAGGCCACCGATAAACATTTTACTGTAAGGAGAAAACATGGTATAAGTGACTCCAGATGTCAAAACGGCCATTTCCGTGTAAATACCTCATAAAGAGCGACCTACGCACAGCTTGAGCTGTGAACCGGCTAAAACGAGCCGTTAGACATGACCTGTCAATCAAAACATCAGCAGAACTGCGCGAGGAAGGACACGCGCTCGTTCGCTCGCGGTGTAAAGCAGAATCAAACTCCAAACACACAGACTCGTCCTGTCTTCTTACCCCGGGTCGTGCTGCGAATCATTCGGACTTCCAGAGGTGACTTGACTCGCGTCCGCTTCCATAGCTCAAAGTCCAACCAACTCCAAACAAGCGCATACACACGAACACTGCAGCCCCAGCTCAACGAATATTACCGAACCGGGAGCGTTAGCGTCACACGTGGGATCTACGCGCGGCTCCCGCCCCTCTCGGGAGGGGCGTGGCTGAAAGCGTCAGCCAACCAATCCGGCGGGGATCTGCGCCTACCTATCAAGGGAACGCTGCTAACCACGCCCTCTGTTGGTTAGCAGCGTTTGACAGCAACCACGAGAGTACATTCAGTTCTTCAGTAAGCTCTTTAAACCCTATAAAGTTTACATTTGCGCCACCTTCTGAATAAATACAACCAAGAGGCATTTTGAAAATAGAAAATGAATGTTTAAAACTAAAATTAAGCACTGTAATTCAAAACACTAGAATAAAATCTAGTTTTTCTTTGAGGCACAAGCATATTCTGTCATGTGGGTGAATGTAGTTTGACTTCTTATTAGTGGCAATGTCATAAATTCCCACAAAATCAGTAATTAGTGAACGTAAGATATAAGAGAATAGTAAGATATATTATAAATGATCAAATTTGTTTGGATTTCAATTGTTTGTATTAAAAGGTGGAAAGTCCTTGCATTCTTTTGGCACCTAAAACTAAAACTTTTATTACCTACTTGAAATAAAATAAACATAACTTAAAATTATTTTACTTCAGCAAGTTGCCAGAACAACTGCACCACAATAACTCAAATTCAATTAACTAAAACAAAATCCTAAAAGCTAATAAAAAAAAATAAATAAATAAAAATAAACAACAAAATGGCTAAAACTTTCAAATTAAAATGAAAACAGAATAAAATCTAATTCAAGATATTAACAGAACATGTAATAGTATATCAATGATACTAAAACAACACTGGAGTTTACTATATGAAACATGCTTGTTTTTCTTACATGGTGTGGACTTTCCAATTATTTCTACTGTTTTTATACTAACTTGATCATATTGTTTATCCATAAACATAAGACATCTTTTGATAGCCTATGTATGTTAATTTTCTGGAAGGGCGCTGAAAAACTTGGCACCCCCACACATGCAGGCAATGTATTTCCGAGCCTTTCTCCCCTTTGCTGAGTGAGCATGCAGAATGGATAGATCAGTGTTAGTGTGACATCTGCTGTCTTCATTGATATGGAAATGCTCAAATAGGAAGTTTATCAAATGACTGCAGCTCTAGTTTCACAGAACCAGATCACTGTGGAAAACAAGCACTGCTTCCCACTGCCAAATGAGAAGTCTTTAACCAGCCAATAATATATTTCCTCACTAGTAAACACATAGATCATACTGCTAATGGTCTAATAAACTTTCTCAAACCCATAGCAGTCCAGAAACACAGTCTGAAATTGATGTTCCGACTCTGATATTTGATATTAAAATGACTTCTGCTGGTAAAGGGTACATCGTGGAGAGTTTTAGAAGTAGTAAGAGTGTTTGTTTCCTGTATCAAGAAAAGTAAGCTGCATCGTGTTTTATGAGCCCAATCTGTGAGGGAGACCCAGCAGTCACAGGGGCATCTGTGTTTGATTAATGAGTGAATCTTCTGCTTACTGAAAGTCCATTTTTTTAATGCTGTGCATCTGTTAGCTGCCTAACAGATCAATGTGCATCTTTAGGATAATACACATTCATCAGGCCACTCTGGAAACGGAGAGGATTTTCTTCTTAGGGAAGGGTTAGGAATAGAAATCTCAAAGTTAAGACTGGAGAATGTGAGAGTACACATACAACAGAATCAGCCGTGACATTCAGCTTCCTCAGAGCAAACCAATCAGACCCCCTGCGGCAGGCAGATACGAGAGCAAGGCCAAATACAGGGAGCTTTCTGCATGTTTATTGAAGAATGTCAGCAGGCGCTTTAAATATTCAGCCCATTTCGGCACACTTTTCCATGATATTTCAAGCGAATCATTGCAATAGAAGTCACCTTTTCTCTACAAAGTGCCTCGCCGTGTAATCTTTCACATAGGTAAGTCAACTGGATGTGTTTCCCTGTTGATTGCCACCAATAACTCTCCAAGGCAGCTTTTCCAGAGCAGTTTTCTGCTTTTTTGGTTCAATTGCCCATATTAGAGCAATCACCATCAATAAAATATATAAATAGATCATGTTAATGTATCTATTAATAACCTCACCTCTAAAAATGAACACTATTTTAAACACCTGGTAACCAGCCATTCAAAGCTTTACACTGAGTGACATCTGTTGGCCAGAAATAGCAGGTGCATGTAATTTTTTCAAATCTGTGAGAGAGTATGGACTTTATAAACTCTTTTTTCCTATTAGGAAGATATTGTGACATACTAAATAAATCAGACATGGGCTAAAACAACAGACATTATTTGCTATGGAGGTTGGTACTCGTTAAAATAGGCTATAAACCATGCATTAAATGTTAATATGGAGCAACTCTGAGCTTTTGTCTTGTTAAATATATACTTGTACTATATCTGTCATGTACTGTCAGTGCAGTAGACAAAGTCATCATAAGCACATGAGACAGAAAAGCACACCATGTCTGTGATTTCCACAGATCTTTTACTTCAACAACAGCAGTGAGATGTTTGGCAGCGTCAGCATGAGAGTACAGAGCACTGAACCATACAAGTTCATTTCAGCAGGGGATCATAATGCTCTTCACTGCTGGAGTTCTTTCATGCTTTACAGTCAGAGAGCACAACACTGTCCCCACCCTTATCTTAAAGAAAATAAACTAAATACAAATACCCAGAGAACAACAAATACATCTAAACAGAAAACAAAAATTACTACAAAAAAAATCTATATACTTCAATATCAAAATACCCGAGCACAACACAATCTTTCAAACCATCAGCATTCAAGAGATAATCTTAGAGAACAGTACAATATTAGCAACTGTTCACATAAGCAGCTTTGTTTTACTCTGCAATGCATTCTGGAGCAATAACTTAATTCAATTATCATTTAAATAACATCAAATAGCATAATATTAACCATTTAAGGAGAATTTTCCAAAAATGAGGTCTCTAACAAAATCTTCATACAACAAACAAATAGACAAAAGTGGAATACATGATTTACTGTGCAAAAGGGTGTTCAAGAGAGAATAAGTGAAAAGCTGTGCCATCACTGCGTCTCAAACCAGGTGCAAAACCCCTGTTCAGCCAGTAATCTGTTCACCAGAACCACCTGCAGACATATAAAGCACAAAAGTAACAGTTATAGCTGAAATTTAAAGATTTAGAAAATAAAAATTAGATGTACAAACCTCGTCTCCTGCCTGTTTCCACATGTGCACCAGAGGAAGACCATCTTGACTGCAAGTCACCTGATCATAAACAACATCCATTATGTCTGAATTGCTTTAGAACTTATGAAAATGTTCCTCAGAGCTGTTTTTGATCACCAAGTGCAGAACTGATCAAATATTTGCGAGTTGATGAAAAGCAGATAATCATAAAATCAGAAATTTTAAAATTTTAATTACATTTAAAAATTAAAATAAAAAACGAACAAAAAAATTGTTTAGCTGCATGTCATTTGACTATAAACCGACTGTGAACATTCAAATGTATTGGTAAACAACATTTCAAGTAATTATTTTAGGTCAAATTGCTGACAAAAAAGTTTGAGAATATCCAGCCTAGTGAAATCATTCAATACCATGGAAATAATCAATAAATACACAAGAGAAAAATGAAAGACAAATGTGTTTGCTTGTTATAACCTTGATGATTAAGGCCATATTTGCAGTTAATTCCTCCAGCGCTGCTTTGGCCTCCAGGGAAAACTCCTCCTCTCCTATCAAAGCAAACAAATGGCTTTTTATTTTTAGCATATTTCAGTATTTATGATTTGATTGGATTTATTTGTCAGTTTTTAGTTTTTTTTTTTTTTAACAAAATAACAGTACTGCATATTGTTAGTACACACCCATGAGCAGCAGCACATCTCAGAAAGCATTTTTAATCATAAACAGGCCAATGTTTTACCTGGCAAAGGAGTGATCATTTTTAGCATATTTCAGTATTTATGATTTGATTGGATTTATTTGTCAGTTTTTAGTTTTTTTTTTTAACAAAATAACAGTACTGCATATTGTTAGTACACACCCATGAGCAGCAGCACATCTCAGAAAGCATTTTTAATCATAAACAGGCCAATGTTTTACCTGGCAAAGGAGTGATATTGTCCAGCAGAACCTCGGCTGCCTGGAATGGCAATGTTACAAAGTCTGACCTGTGAAAACAATCCTCAAATATCAGATTGAACTCATTCTAAAACAATTACAGACAAATAATCAAACCAAATGTAAGCCACTTGACCTGATCTGCCTGAGGGTGACGCTGTTCACGGTGTCATAACCTCCATTATCTACATATCTGATATGAGCTGTGGCAGACTCTCTGTCATACTGGATGACCTGGGCTCTCTGCCAGCCACTTCCTGTTACCGGAGCTGCACAGACCACCCCCACTGACAGAGGCAGACAGAAAATAGACAGACTTCCTCAAACTAGATGACAACAAGAAACCCAAATTATTTTGAAAGATGACCACATTGCCTCCATGAAACCTAATTATAATTTGACTTGCCACAGTTTGAGCAATATATCATAACATTTAGGACATGTACTATCAGAGATGATGTCTATCTGTGTGTGTGTGTACTGTACATATGTTATACAAATATTTTCAACACTGATAATAATAAGAAATATTTCTTGAGAACCAAATCAGCATATTAGATCGATTTCTGAACCTCATGAAGTTGGTTGCTACGTACTCAAATAAAACGTGTTATTTCATAGTGTTGTAACTTTACTAGCATTCTAAAATATGGGAAATGGTATTAATAAATAAACTAAAAGAACTGTTTAAAGTCATGCCGATAAAGTTGTGCTGATTCTAAAAGAGATTTTATGGGGGACAAAAGCAAAACCATAAAACGCTATGGTAGAGACAGATGTTGTGTTGTTCCTATTGAAAGCATTTGCTAAATGAATACATGTAAATGTGAATATAAATTATTTATTCTCCACATTGAGATCTGTGTGTTTCAGTAGGGGTCTATATACCTTCGACAGGGGTGGGCAGGCTGGGACATCCTGGCTGAGAGTAGCAGAGCTGCAGGTGC